GAAAGAGTGGCAAACCTAGAATGAGAACCACTTACAGGTCATCAAGTTACTGCAAGTCTTCTGGGTAGAGAGAAGTATTGGCATGCGTTTTGACTTACTCTGCCATGTTGATTCATACTCGAGTAAACCCTTGCTCTGAGGAAAGCATGAGATTCTGTCCTTTGAATGAATTGGGGAGGTTGGTTAAAAAGTTTAGATGTCTACACATGTGCTCTAGGGTGCCAGGGGGAGCTTTAGTTAAAGCAGCCCCACTGCAGTTTTGAAATGGGGATGCTGAATGCACATGACAGTGAGGCTGCTGGAGCGTTCTAATTGGGACACTTTAGCAGACTTAATTAATCGAGTCTACTCTGATGCATTCTAATTAGAATGCATCAGAGCAGGCATCCTGTACGTGTACAGGCACCCTGTTGTCCAATATCTAGTTTAATTGGATTTAATAATTTCCCTCCTCCCTTTCCCCTCAACTTTTTTTTTGTCTTCCTTGCAATTATGGCTAGGTGGGAGGGGAGAATCCACAAATTAGACTAAAGTCATCCTGTAAAGTTTAAAAGCAATAGTGAACTTTGTTCTACTGGCCAGTTGCACCACTTTCAGTTTTGCAAGTAGATTAAACATTTTTAATTTCAATTTGCTTTCCTCTGAAGTAAACAAGTAGGAAAGGCAGCTTTTATCCCTCCCCCCACTCCATAATGCAAAGATGAATTTCATTGTTGAACTGGATACAGTTAGCAAGTTGCTGCACAATCAGGCAAGTCGTACTGAGTCTTGTATACCATCCGTTGCTGTACAGGATAGTTTTAAGCACATACATCCGCAAATGCCTTTTGGAGTTTTCTTTACATCTGTTCATATGAAATGCACAAACTGCTTCCACAACCAACCTAACTTATGTCTTTGTGTGTTGAAGATGTCTTTGTATCTTCAGCTCTAAATTAAATGTACTTTTTGTATGAGGAGAAGAAAACCCTGCAGAATAATGATCACAATAATAATAATTTTTTAAATTTATTTTTATTTTTTTATTCTATGAGAATCTCATTTTCTTTACTCGGGTATTTAGAATTGCTTCTCCAGAAAGTTAGGCTTTACTTTTGAATAATAGGTCTCCATATGGGAATATCTAGCCTTTAGATCCTGGGCTTTGGGGAAACCACATTTGCCCATTTTATCAAGTTTTTTGTCACAGCAAAAAATCTCTTTATTCATGCACAGTTCTAACCTCTAGCTGGCTATTCACTTTGGGCCTTAGGCCAAGTCACTGATAGCAGGGAAAAGTATTATTAAGCAGGTGTCCATTCTGCATTCATCTTGTTTACAGGAGCAGCATTGGTATGTGATAGTGAAAAGCTGCAAAAGAATCCTGTTTCAATTAGATTCTGTTCTGCTTCTTCATCAATTTAGACCAGGAATGCGTAGCAGCTCCAAAGAGGACTGCAGTTTTTTACACACAAAATGGGATTAAAAAATCCTAATGAATTTCTTACCTAATAAGGGAGGGGGGAAGGGAGAGCTGCTGCTACTGTTGCTGCCACACCGATTAAGTCATCTGCTATTCTTGTGTCAGCACCTCCCCATTCTGCTGCCACTACTGATTAGATAGGGCAAGTATGTATTCTTCAGAAAAAGGAGGAACTGTTTGAGGTTTTTTTAAGTGTCACCTGTTAGATGTCTAATGTTTCTATTCTGACCGGATAATTATAGCAGGGACAAAAGCCTCACATTCCAACTCTAATTATTTCAACCTTTCTTATTTGTGTCTTACCTCCTGTCTTGAGAGTTTACTGAAGCTTATCAGGAACAAGCAATGCAGCACAATACATCTCTCAAAGCATTTGCTGCCTTGTTCTAAATGCCAGCAATCCCAGGGCCACACTAAATTGCTTTGTTTCTGGAGTAAATTAAACATACTGGAGGAAAAGGGGCAATAAACTGTTGAGGAGGCAGAGGAAATGCAGTTTTTCCCAGGTATGCTATTTATTGTATCCCACCTATTCCACTATACAGACCCTTTCACACCTTCACCACGTTGCTGAAGGCATGTTTCTCTATTTCTCACTTAATCTGTAGTATACCAGAACCAGGTCTCTTACATCACAAGCACATGTCCTAGCACTTCAGTTCAGTGGCGACGCGTAGTGGGTGCATGGGGGTGCATGTGCCCCCCGAGAGTGCCGGTGGCCCCCCTGCCCAGCCGCGCTTGCCGCAGTGATCGATTGGTGAGATTGGCCACTGGGGATCCCCAGCCCCCCCTGCCCCCTTGCCCCATCGTTGAATGATTGCTGAGGGGGACATGTGCGCCCCCCCATCCCCCCCCCCGACTAAGGTGGCACCAGTCGCTCATGGTTCAGTTTATTGGCTAAGCTGAGCATGCCTACTCTGCAGAAAGCCCGTAAGTCTTGATTTGTTTCCGTGCAAAGCAGGAAATGTTGATTTCAGAAGTACCCTGGGACAGACTTTAATTGAAGCTGTTCTTGTTTCAAGTCTGTGGTGCTTATTTTGTGAAATCTCATTTTGAATAGTTAAACTACATTTAATTTTGTTGTTTAATTAGCCAAAACACCCATTCTTCCCTAAAACCATTAAAATGTTTTGCTTACCTCCATTTTACTTAAATTAGAAATATGAGTGTGCCAATCCAGTTTGCTCAAATGCATAACACAAACAATCTTTATAATCCAAACACTGGCATAGGCAGGTTATGCTAGTCTACCTGTAGGCTTTGTTCTTCTCTTGCCCAACTCGTCTCAGGGCCTTGTTACATACTGCAATTTGAGCTGCTCAAGTGTTGATCAGTGTTTGTGCTAGCTTGAGTTTGGAGCAGTCGTACCTTAAAGCTAAGAACTGTCTTTCACTGTCCCCACCTGCACAGCTGTGACTTGCCACTAGAGAGGCTGGTGAGCCAGGACAGGCTTCTACCCCTGCTCTAAAAGTGTGGGTGTGTTGGAGAGGTGAGTTGAGTGGGGAGAGGAGGGGAGAGAGAGAGAGATGGGACAGGAACATGAAGCTGAAAGATGGAGAATTAATGGGATAGGTGTGGGTAATGAAATGGGTATGGTGGGATGGAGGTAAAATGAAGGAAGTCAGCCACTGAAACAGAAAATAAAAAGTAAAAGAAAAGAATTTAAAAAGAAATAAGTGAATAAAAGGTCTCGTTTTAATAGATTGGAATTAGGGCATGGGAAGTGTTGGGTTGTGCTTCCCCAGGTTTCATAGTTTCATAGTTTCAGGGTCGGAAGGGACCTAATAGATCTTCTAGCCCGACCCCCCGCCAGGGCGGGAGAACAACC